ACAGACCTGATGTCTTAGTAGTAGTAGTAGTAGAGGTTTTACAGCGATAACTCTAGTTTCAACAGCACAAAGTCTGCGTCGACTAAAGGCACCCCGGAAATTGTGGGTCACAAGAGTGTGACAAACATACAAAAGAAGTAAAAGAAAAATGACGATAGTAAGGATTGGGAAAGAAAAGGCAGCAGTTCTCTGTTGCAATTCAGGCACAGTTATGGGCATGACATTGATGAATTAGCCCATTTTCAATTACAATACAATTCTGCTTTGGGAATGGCTTAAAGAAACTTCAGTCAATAGCACGCTGCCCGATGGGTTCCTCACGTTTTAGAAACTCAAAATGAATAGAGATGTCAGATAGAACTTTGTAATAATTCTGATGTAGCGACGTGGCTGCACTAAGAGTTGAGGCTCTGATGCGTGTACTAGGCCAAGGAAGCTCCGAATGGAAGGCCAAAGTTCAGTTTTACCCATTTTTGATAAGCTCAGTTGAAAATTTGTTTGCTCATATGGTGTCTGTCTGGGACAACCCTGTTTGAGTAAGATAGTGACGTCGGTGGCTAGAGCTGGGCAATGAGTCGCTTTAGCAAAATCCGGATAATTTGTTAGTGAACCTCTTCGGCAAATATTATGATATGAGCCACTTCGGCGAATGGGTTAAAATCACTTCGATAAACGGGTTAGCATCACTTCAACAAATGGGTACACCCACTTCTGCAAACGGGTCAGGAAAGGGAGTTAAGAGTCTGAATTCGGGATAGTTTCATTGATAATTATCCGGTTATCCGGATAGCTTATCCGGAATTTGTCCACCTCTATTGGTGGCCTATAAGTGGTTAGGTTCTGGGACGTGCAACTGTACGGTCGTGGGTTCGAATTCTGTCAGTGGCCTGACATTGTGTCCTTGGGAAAGGCATTTTACCCGAATCTTCCTCCCTTCACACCAACATCCCAGCATAAAATTATACCGGATAAAACGATTTTAAAAGACACTTCCGCACTCGCGAATCGACTCCACGTCTTTTTTAGATTAATATTCTGCGATTGTAATTTTCCCTTTAATTTTCCATAACGGGTTCGGGAGGTTGGCGGGTGCTCTGGTGTGGTTTGCTTCTTCTTTCTTAAGAAACTTTTATAGTCCTTATCTCCCCTTCTTCTTTTTTATGTTTGTTACTCTCTTGTAACACCTCTAATCTTCTAATGACCTTATGCAGTTGCGAGCGCCGTAAAACCTCAACAACAACAACAACAACATCTACGGGCGATCACCCCAACAAACACGCCAATGAATGGACGTAACATTACGCTTAACCCTGATCTTAACCCTAACCCCAGCCCAAACCCAAACCAAAACCCAAACCCTATCCCAAACCAAACCCCAACTTATCCCAACCTCAAACTCAAACCCTAGCCCAAACCCAAATACAAATCTGAACCTCTCTCT